TTTAGCTCTCAGATTCTAGGACACCTCTCGTCAAAGATGTGTGTCTAAAGGCCCTTGAACAGCAGTGCCGTGCCACTTATAACAATGGCTTTGTCTGTTTCATTCTAGGCATTTGCTATGTTTCTGGCCCGAAATAGCAAATTTAATCCAGAGGTAGAGGGAGCAAAAGGTACTCTAGACAATTCCACCGAGTTTACAGCCACTTATGTGGGCTCTCTGGTCACCCACAACTCTCTCCAGCTGGATGTGGTTCCTGTGGTAACTGTTTTTGGTTGTTTTGGCTTTCTTCATTTCCTATGGGTAAACTCCCTTCCCCTTCCTTCCTTCCTTCCTTCCTTCCTTCCTTCCTTCCTTCCTTCCTTCCTTCCTTCCTTCCTTCCTTCCTTCCTTCCTTCCTTCCCTCCCTTTTTTTTCATTGCTAAGTGTTGCCCTGTGTTTCTCCCAGCCCCCTCTGCTCCCTGGCTTTCTCCTGTTTATAGTTAGCCCCCACCTGCAGAACTCCACCCACTGGACCGACCCCTGGCCCCACTGTCAGAAGAAGGGGATTGGGCCAATGACAAATGCTCAGGGTAGATGTGGTTGAGGCCAGGTGGTTATTTTGCGAAGGATTCAGAGTCACCTGTCTCCCCTTTGGGGTTTGCTTGGAGGAAACTGTGCACATAAAAGGCCACAATGGAGCACCACGTAATTAATAGCCGGCTGCACAGAGCTGGGCTTATGAGGTATGAGCTCAGCTGTTACAGCGCACTGTAGCTCCGGCCCTAAAGAAGCCTGGTTCCTGGAACGTTTCTAGCTCTGGCCCATACAATTAGCCATGTCTTGTCTCAAGGTACGGCTAGTTAAAGGGTGGGGAAAAGCATATTTGCTGGGGAAAAGCAAGAGGTCTCTCCCCAAGAGTTTATTCCAATGCTCCTAAATTGAGCAGTGTCATAAAGTAGGATGCGGACTTGAACATTACGTTGTCCTATGTTAAATGTGAACATCAGAGAGAACTTTGGAGATCAGCGGGTGCAACTCAACTTCACCGTGTAAAGGAGCTTCAGAGATGCTAAATGTCCTGCCTAAGGCCACTGCTGCAGACACAGTTCACCTCCTGACCCCCCACACTGACGCACGGAGGGCGGTCGAAACAGCTTTTAAACAAGAAATCCTCCCTTTCTGGAGTTTGGGTATTATTGTTTCTCATCCTTCTATTGGGCCTTAGCTCTATAAAAACACAGGATTTTCCTGTTATGTAATTGCTATTGAAGGTGATCTGAACATGAAATACTATTTTTAATCTTAAAAAAAATATTTTTTCTTTTCACTTATAATTTTCTGTCCTAATGTCAGGCTTCCAGCCCCCAAGCTACCAACCTCATGTAGGTTTGTGGTGTTTTTGTTTTTTGTTTTTTGTTTGTCTTGGACAAACTCAATTACTTTCTGAATCACACTGGGAAAAAACAAAGCAAAACACAAGATTTTAAGGGTTATTGCTTTTTGAATTTTCTGAAACCACAGAGTTGAGAGAACTGACTTTGTTAAAGCGTCAAAGGGTATGAAGATTCGTAAAACCAAGAGGTTATATTTACCCTTTAATGCGTGCATGTAATGTCAGTGATGTTACATGCATCTCATAAGCAGATCTTACATTTTGAGGAGTGATGGGTATAACAGAAAAAGGAAAGCAACAATTTTTCTCTTCCAGACTTCACCTTTTTTTTCTTTCAAAGGTACATTTTCCAAAGAACATCATTCATACCCAAAGCATGCAGCTGATCTCAGATAATAGGATGCACTTTTTAGAAATCCTGTTGACTAGAGAAAGCCATAAGCTCTACCTCATGTTAACAAAGCACTTGGACTCACAGGGACATATGCTTAAAATGCCCCTGGAAGTGCCTGCATCTCTCACAAATGCTGCTTCTAAGAAGGCCAGTACTCTTTCCTTGCTCCCAATTCTACCGGAAGAGAGCATCCATCGTATGCTAATCTCTCTTTAATACTTTTTTACACAGTTTAGAGCTCTCTGTTCTTTTAAGAAGGAGATGGACCTAGCACCGATTATCTGCAGGTAAAATTTGCATGGGAGTGTGTGAGATAGTGTGACAGGAACTACTGCCCTGAGGGGCTCGCGGGATGGGGACACAGGGGTGTCACGCTGCTATGTTTCTGCCTAATGGGGGGAGCCACTGAGACTCAGATGTCAGACGGGGACTTTTCTATCAAAAGGAGCTGAATAGATTCTCCCCCCTGCAGCTGAGTGGCAGAGAACACAGGCGTGTCCCCAGCCGCAGGTGGCAGGAAGCACTGGGAGAGAAAGGACCGGGTAGCTTGGGGCTCCACAGACACCCGCAGAGAAGGCCCCTGCAGGCCCATCTGAGTGACCAGCGGTGCCGTGCACCTTCGCAGAATACAGCAGATGAGGGCAGGCCTGGAGTCCACACTGAGCAGGCGGCGTAGACAGCCTGTGAGTCATCGTGAATGACAGCACAGGTCCCGACACCAGAGGATGCAAGGCAGCACAGGCCAGCTCAGCGCAGAGGGTGTCCGCACAGGCACACCCAGGGGGTCCCTGGCCTTGGGAGATGATATCAGAACCCCTCCTCATAGAGCTTATCGAATTCTCTGCAGATTAGAGAATTATAAGCCCAGCGTGGCTGAGGGCTGGCTACTTGCTCTCCCCGTCTCTCACCGTTGCCTGTCCTCTAAGGAAGACCTGCCTGCCTGCTGGGCTCCAATAGGGTGGAGGCGGGAGCTGGGACGGGATTGGAGGGCTGGCGGGATTCACACTGATAGGGAGGAACCCGCCCCCGCCCCCAGGGTGGAGGACCAAAGAGTTGCAGAAAGAAAGAGGGAGTTTGATCCCCCTCCCCGCCCCACCCGCCGCCACTCCCAGGCCCCTCGAACACTAAAACCAACTGCTCATCATCCGCTTGGGAGCAGGAGCTAAGCTCAAGCAAGGTTTTGGGGGAAATTAAATTTGGAAGCTGTGGGGCAACAGGTGCCTAGTGTGAGCTGCAGGGGGAGAGGGACGAGAACACCAGTCTTCACAGGGGTAGCTGGGCCTGGTGGGTGGAGTTCATTTGCTCTCTTCCTATGACTCCAGCAAAGATTTAACCTACGTGGCAGTTCATTTTAAACACCTCTATGGCAACTTCGTGAGGCTTTAGGCCTGAAGGTGGTTGAATTTTGGAGGGTTCACATATAAATTAAAGCACCATCGAAATTACAATAAACTGCAGCCATCTCTCATTCACAACTATGTTATGGTTACAAAATGCCTGATGGAGGGAGACGCCCAGGTCTTTTTATACCTAGCTGGGTGGGGGCGGGTACTCAACTATTATTCTCTCAATTTTAATGTTGACAGTGGGGAGGTAAACAGGCTCTCCCTTCCAGAAGGCTGCTCTAGCTGCGCTGTCTCCGGTTGTGTTCCAGGTGGCCAAGACAGTGACCACGGCTGGTCAGGGCCGATGGGCCTAGGATGGGGCTCTGGCGGCCCCCCGCTGCCGGGAGTACGGGGACCTTAGGAAGGGATAACGCACGACGGACATCTGAAACAACGCCTGCCCCGTCCCCACATAGGGAGGGCCTCTCTGGCACTCAGTCATTCCTCTGTCCCCCAGCCATACTCTCAAACAGAGGGACGATGGTACAGGGAGCCATGTTCTGCCGGCAAAACAAAAACGCACAGAACAGGTGCGAGCAGTGGGCGGGGTGGCCCTTGCTCACCGCGTTAGTGTCTGGTCCAGCATGACGCAAGGTGCCCTGCTGACGCAGCCGACTGCTTCTTAATGTGCCACCTCCGTCAAGTGTGTTAACTCGTCTGCTTAACCTTCAGATTCGTCAGCCGCAGAAAGCAGGAAGTAACACCACCCACCCAGAGAGAGATGAGAAAGTCTCCATGTAACACTCAGTCCGGTGCTTGGTGTACAGCGAATGCCTCGCGAAGCTTGCTTCTCGCTATCTCTGTTCTTGATACTGCTAGCATTATTACATGAGTGACAAGGACTAGCCTAATTTTTTACACGACTAGACATGAAAACCAACACCCAATCTTGAAAACACATCCCCTCTGCATGCCCTCTATTCACAGCCGATTTCCGCATAAATATGAATGCGATTTCCTGTAGGTTGGTCGTCTTTTCTACTTTCTCCTCTCCCTCTTTCCTCGCCCTGCTCTCCTAAATCCTTGGTGGTTGGGGCTCCCTCGCCCAACACAACCGAAAGGAGGCAGCTGTCGGAGGTTCCCGTGAGGGCTTCCTCCCAGGAACCCCGTGGCTCTGTGTGAGAGTGGCCTTTTGGCCCATTTATCCCATTATTTACACACTTCTCTCACCTGCCCTGCTTGAATGTAACTTGACTGTGGAGATGGGATGAGCCTTATTTAACTTTAAAACACTTATAGCATATGTGCCTGATGAGGTAGTAGGTATTTCACTGTTTTTGAAATAAATGAGTAAAGATAGAATCAGATAAATTATTCGCGGCATAGGTCCTCCATTAAATAAAAAATGCGGTGCTTAAACAAGGAATGGCGGTTCCCAGGCCCCAAGGCCGGCCCCAGCCACGCAGCACATAGGTCTGTGTGTCACTTAGAGTGTCCAAGCATTGTCCCTACCTCCGAATTAGAGCATTAATGCCAGGATGATTTCAGGGCCTGGAGGCTTGCCTACTCATTTCATAAATATTAACTTCCAAGGGTGAACAATCCAATAAACTTCTTTGCCCCCTGAGTTGAAAAAATTTAACAATGTTTTTGAGTATTTTCCATCAGAGGTCAACTCTAGAGCCCCCATGGCAGAAAGGCTCCCTCCCTGCCCGCACTGATAAAATATAATTTGCTTTCCATCCCGCTGTATGGCGGACTATGTCACGGGTGGGTTTGTTGTATGTCATTCATGTTCTGGAAGAAATTCCCAATAACTCACATCTCAACATCTTGGGAGCAAGCCCCATCTTCTGTTCTATTTTTACATAGATTTACTGGAATGATGAGGGTTTGGAAACATACGTACCCCCTAGTGGAGTTCAGAAATCCAGTGACACCAGAGAGCTGGGGCCAGTCGAGCTCATCGGTAAGAGCTTCTGGTAAACTGAAGAAGGATTTCTAGAGAAAAAACAAAGTGGTGATCATCAGAATGGTCATTTGTTTTCTACATGTAGTGAGATTATTCATTGCCTAGGCATTGCTCTCTGTCTCTCACTTTCTTTCTTAATCTCCCCCTTTAAGGGACTTTGGCATCTCAAGCACATGCCTCTTAACTTTAACCGTCGTCAGAGAATTCACAGAGACCAGCATCCCTGATGAACAGGCTCCCCTGTGGCATCTGTGGGAGAGGCAGGGTGCATGACATCCCATACTCATCCTCCCTAGGAAGGGATGTTTCAGAAGATGGGCAAACTTCCTGCTCCTTCACATTTGCTGAGATTTTTCTCCATATTTGAGTTTAGACATTCAGGAAGTCAATTGCCTGAAAAGTAACAATACCCAAACCCTCAGCAAAAAATGCCTTCTTGAGTTCAAAGCTATGTCCTCAGTCAATAAGAGGGTGTCCCTGCTCCCCTTGGAGTGTCAGACACCTTAGAGAGTCTAATTATGGTTCCTTTCCCCACAAAATGCAGGCATATGAAGCATGTTCTGGGAGTTCAGAGGGTTCACAGACCCCCTGCAGCTCCTGCACAGATGCCAGTTCAAGGACCCCTGCCCTGGCTGGTGTGGCTCAGAGGATTGAGCATTGACCTGCAAACCAAAGGGTCGCTGGTTAGATCCCCAGTCCAGGGACATGCCTGTACTGCAGGCCAGGTCCATAGTTGGGGGCATACGAGAGGCAACCACACATTAATGTTTCTCTCCCTCTCTTTCTCCCTCCCTTCTCCTCTCCCTAAAAGTAAATAAATAAAATATTTTTAACAGTTTTTTAAAAAAAGAACTCCTGACACAGAGTGCTGACAGAGTTCGGGTCCATTGAACCGCATTTCTACAGCTCGTGCAAAATCAGAGAAGACACCATTTCTGGCTGTGTCCCCTTATTGTTTCTCTTATAAATGTCCTCTGGGATGAACCCTCTTCTGCTCTAATTTCTACAAAACTTATCTAGATGGCTGTTTTCAGAATAGGGTTACCAGATTTAGCACAGAAATGCCCCATTAAATTTAAGTGTCGAGAAACAAAATGTGGTGTGTACACACAACAGAGTACTACCCAGCCTTAATGAAGAAAATTCTGACACATGCTACAACATGGATGAAATCTACATTGCAAATTAATGTTGAACTTTATAATAAATGTATTACTTGGTAATCAGAAAAAAACAATAAAGAAACATTTTCAATTATATATTTTACAAAGTGATCCCCTGGTATTCAAGTTTAATTGAAACATAAAATTGAAAAAAGATACATTTTCAATTAGTTAATGAGACAGGAGTGTGGCTCTTCCTTCACTAACAGCCTCCAGACTCAGATTCTCTTTAGGGGGCAGGGTGAGGACCCTCGTGGGAGAGGAAGCCCACAGGAGGCGGGGCCACATGCCATTTGAAAAAATGCATTCAGCCCTGGATGGTGTGGTTCAGTGGACTGAGTGCTGGCCTGTGAACCAAAGGGTCGCTGGTTCGATTCCTGGTCAGGGCACATGCCTGGGCTGTGGGCCAGGTCCCCAGTGAGGGGCGTGGGAGAGGCAACCACACATTGATGTTTCCCTCTCTCTCTTTTTCCCTCCCTTCTCCTCTCTCTAAAAATAAATAAATAAAATCTTTGGAAAAAAAAGGCATTCAATGATATGATTGCTTTGCTGTGATTTGCCTTTAGATATACCTTTAATTTATTTCTAATTTTAAAACAACATTATAGGAGGACGTGAGGTTTTTAGATTCATCCGAAGGGGGTGTGGGTTTTCAATACCCAAGGCCCTGGGATTCAAGGGACTGATATTTCATCATCAGCCCTTAGAGGGTACCACCTACCGCTTTCTGCTCAAAACTCCACCATTACTGTGACCCAGCTCCTCTCCGTTTTGGTTTCTATTTCTCCTGCCACTACAATCAAATGTTTTCTCTATTTTTTAAAAAATATTATTCCCCGCCCCGCCCAGGTTTTTCTGTTTATGTGTTTGCTGTAGGATTTGAGAATATTCAATTCTACTATAGACGTCGGAAAAAACAAACAGAGTGGATGAAACTCCTAAGGTAGGTTAAGCCAAGAGAGTGAACAAGCAGGTAGGTGGCTTGTGAGATGGAAGCCGAATTTATGAGCTGTGTTAAGTAAGTGAGCAACCTGTGAAACACTCTGAAAGTTTGAAGAACAAGGCCACACTCCCCCACAGCACTCTGCCGCATCTTTCCCAGCCACGGACACGACGGCAGGCCCGGATTTGGGACGGTGGGTAGGGAACTGGGCTTTCACAGTGAGGAGTTAGACGAGAGCTCTGCTGGCGCGGGGGGTGTCTGATACCCTCTGAGCCTGGCCTAGTAATGGAGGTGATGGTAGGTCTGCCATGAGCCTGCAGGGCAGGGAAAGATTTTGCTCTAGGAATCAGGGGGTCTGATTTTACACCTGCTCTACCAATACGGTAAAGCTCCATAGTTTGGACATGTCACATTAGAAGTGGGCTGCTTTCTCCATCCAGCCCCCGTTCTCGGTCAGGGGTGGGTGGTAAAACTCTGATCTCCTCCGCGGGGGGAGGGAGATGTTGAGGGAGGGGCAGGCTAGTTGAGGACGTGGTCTGCAACGTGCCTTGGGAAGTGGGGTCTCCATGCCCCACCCCATTCTCCCAGCTCAGTGTCTCTGGATCAACCCGGAGCAGCGGGTTTCAGCCCCAGGGGAGCATCCTGGACTCCTTGCTGCTCTGCCAGAAGCGCCAGCCAGCCCCTGGACTGGTCCCCGTCAGGATTCTAGCGGGAGCGGACCGCGGCTGGGGCTGAATGGCAGCAGGGACTAAGGTAGATTTGAACCCCGCAGCAGCCGGAGCCCAGGAAGGTCAGTCAGCTGCGCTGGTGTTTCCTGGTTATTTGATTAACCTTGAAATAATGCCAATCCACGCTTTCCTGGTTAAATATTTTAGATTTCACTTATTGTGTTATGGAGAGGTTTTCATACTCCTCGCTGTGCGAAATCGGGGAAGATGTAGCTTTCCCAGTGTCTCGGGTCCAGGAGCTCCTTTGGTGACAGATTATTACCCTATCGACTTTGCCAGGGCTGTTGGGAGGACCAAAGGTCAGCGAGAGAAGCAGGCGGGTGAGGAGAAGCCCTGCGGGGGCAAAGCATCCTGTTTGGGGGGGCTCCCCAGGTCCCACCCTTTCCGAGTGCACTGTCCCAGGCTTAGGGCGAGGATTCTATTATGAGCAAATAAAAAAAACGGTCTGAGCACACAAACGGAGGCCTCCACATATTTTTCTTCCTTAGTAAATTCGGTAGATAAAAAATGAGACGTTACAGCCATTAAGAGCAAAGGTTTTATAAAGCCTAGCAGAAAAGGAACGTTTGTCATCTCTCATTAAACACTTAGCGCCTTATTCACGCAACATTATACCCAAGGCAGTTCAGGCGTTTAAGGCAGGAAATATGCAAATTCAGATCTCCCTCGTCAACTCCTGCTTATTCCTCTGGAGCCTTTATGTTCTCAGGAAACTGATCTCAAATGTACCTTAAATGTACATATGTGGGAAGACTTAATATTTACCAAGAAGAAATTTTCCAAGTTTGTAAAGAGCATTGGAAACTTGACGAGTATTAAGTCAACTATTTCACTGCTTCAGAATTTCTTCTGGTTTTATCAGTGACTTAAAGTGTTTTTAAGTCATACTTGCCATGTGTGTACTATTTTGGGGTAATGTGTTTTGTATACTGTTACTCTGTGTCTGTGTATTTCTATGGGTTGAGGAAGCCCAGTGGTTCTCATTGTTAATGAACATTTAGTAAATACACATACTTTGAGTTTAAGAATATTTTAAGCCTCAGCTTCTACAAGCCGCTTCCAGTTGGGTTTCCTAGAGCCATCTCAGGTGTGAGAGCGAGTCATGGGTCACTCACACATCCCTCAGGTCCTTCCCACTGACAAAGGGAATACTTTGGTGCCTTTACGTCATCGTTTGCAGTGAAGCCCGCTCCACTCAGCAGCGCTGTGGGCAACGTGCACAGTGTATTCCCTTTTCTAATACCCTTAACTGAGTTAGAACTACATGGGTTATTTTCAAATAATACAAAGTCACTTGGAGGCGACTGCAGCTACCCATTGATGGAAGAGATAGGAAATACAGCATTGCTGTCATGCTAAGCAAAAGAAGCCAGTCAGAGACAGACCAAAACCATGATTTCACTTATATCTGGAATCTAATGAACAAAATAAAGTAACACACAGAACAGAAACAGGCTCACAGACACAGAGAACAGACTGACAGCTGGCAAAAGGGAGGGGGATTTGAGAGGCTGGGTGAAGGGATTAAGCAAACAAACAAAAAACAAAAACAGACACAAACAATGGTACAGTGATTGCCAGAGGGAAAGGGGGGCGGGGGGCGGTGGAAGAGGGCAAAGGGGGGACACATGGTTGTGGCCGTCTTTTCCTCCTCTGTGTCCCTTTTTCTGGAAGTCATGCCTAACTCATGAAGAGCGCAGAAGGAGGTAAATGCTGACATGATGCGTGACCCTACACGGGCACCTGCATACACTCCCGCTCTGACTACGCTGGGGAGACGCAGCCACACAGAGCAACGTGGGCTCACTGCTGATCTGGAGGTTCATCTCCCAGCGCGGCCTGGCAGAGGAGGTTTCTGGGAGCGTGTGGAGAGAGTGTATCGCCTGGCTTCAGCCTCTGGCATCTCAGGCTGCCCTGGGTTGGGGAGCCCTGTTCTGACAAGTGAACGCTTTGATATAGGCAGCTTCAAGGGCGTAGCTTAGCTCTCCATGTTTGAGCTGTAAACTCAAGAATCCCATGAGCAGTAGATTGAGTCTCATATTGAGGTCTCTATAGCTCCATAACGAGAGGGAGAGAGAGAGAGAGAGAGAGAGAGAGAGAGAGAGAGAGAGAGGCACATTGCATGCCAACCTGTGACAATGGGCACTCAGCTGACCACTTCATCAGGCGATTGTGGAGCCCACTGTCCACAGGGG